ACGTTGCAACTAAACACTTTTCTTAAGTTTTATTAACCCACAAAAACGATTGTACTAAGAGAATTGGGTCCATGCACCACACATTAGATTTGTAACGGCTTTTGTTGAAGTTGTTTGGATTTCATTCCCGAAGTACCGATTACTTGTAGAGTTAAATTAAAAATTGATCCATTGAATTCAACTCTGCATCTTTCTTTTCATGTTGCTATTTTTGAAATGGTTTTCCCTTGATTAAATGAAAATTAGGCTCCTTAGTAAACAAGAAGGAGAGATTTCTTTTTTGTTTCAGATGATCTTGGGTTTCTTTATCAACTTTAAGAAATGCACTGCCTTTTTTCTCTCTATTTTTTTTTTTTCAATTCTCTTGATATTTCTTTAAGATTTAATGCACTCTTTGAAAGTGATTATTACCATGTAAATGGAATGGATTAGTAGATCTTTCTTTAAAAAGAGTAGGAATCCCTTAACAATTTGAAGTAATTGGGTAAGTGGATCTCAGTGCACCAATGAATTGAATGGAGGTTTTGGCATATCAGGTTGCTGGAAATTTAGTTTGTTTCATTAATTGCTGGCAATAGCTTTCAAAATTCAAAGGGCAATAGTATTATGGGGGACTATCTTTGCTCAAAAGGAAGATGCATAGTATCTTTGTTTGTTTAAAAGGAAAATGCACCTAAAGTCAATCAAAATAGGTTGCAGATTATATCTTGCTAGGTTTAATGATTTATAAATTGCTAAACCCGTGTTATTTTGAATGTCCAAACCATGAAAACGAGTTTCTAGTGAAGAAAAATAACATGTGTGAATGAGATAATTATCTTCAAAATTAATGAAACGAACCTTCTGACCCTGTTTCTGTGAACTAATGATCTACTCTAGATCAATTTGTTTATCCTGATGGGTTTGATGTTTGAGAATGAACAGTAGAAAAAGAGAGTCACAAAGTGATAAAGTTATTGAGAGGCAGAGAGCCCTCTCTGTCTGAAATATAATGAAATTCCTTAATTTATAGAAGTCCTCGTACAATCATCTTTTACTCATTAGGTTCCTGATTGGACAAACTTGATTTGGTTACTCTAACCATGAAATCACGCCATCTAAGTCAAGAAATTGCATTAGAAATGAAAATCATTAAGCGCTTATAAATTAATGGACAAACCTATTTGGCCATACATTCATTTTTCATTAGAAATATCTAGAATTCATAGACAATTTTGATTTTGGTGTTTGGACTCGTGGATGGTGTACTTAATCATCAAAAACCTTTTTTTGGATATATGATGACCTCTTTCAATAGCCCCTTAATATATAACAAATATATTAGAACCTAAGACCTCAATGGTGGTACTTCAGTATTCTACACTTATTTATCAGAAAATTTTAGAGCGATATTTTTTCTGTATGCAAATCTTCTTTTGGATTGCCATCACTAGGCTTTTAGGAACCTTGGCCCAATGTCTGATGTGGCCGATAATTATAGCATCTTAAACTCTTATGAAATAGTATTTGTTAAAACTCTTTGGAAGGGTCCTTCCTCATTAAGATGAACATCTATGTGTTTGTCTAATGCCAAATTATATTTTATTGCAGAAAGGTTTTCTGAATACTGCTAACTGTTATTTTTTTCATTGTATAATTAACATCAATGACTGAATGCTTCTTTGGTCATAATCAAGGATATCCAAGGTCTCATAGAACAAACTTTGTCTACAACTATTTTTTAGATTATAAGTTTGGCATACTTGGTGAGTCAGGAAAAGCAATTAGATCTTTACTTCAGTGGCATTTTCATGGTGCCTCGTTGGAGTCTGGAAGGAGTGCAATAATATAATTTTTATGAAGAAGGCTTTTGCTGTAATATTTGGTAAAAAAAGCTTCTATGAATGTTGCTTCCTTCTTATGATTTTTGGGAAATATGAAGTATTCTTTCATGTTTCATGCCACAAAAATGCCTTTCTACTTTTCTTGTTTCCTTGCCTCTTTCTTCTTGTCTCGACACTTCCTAGGAAGAATTCATATTCTATTTTGTTTCATTTCCTTGATAACTTGGTGGGTATGCTCTTTCAGCTTATTCTTGGTAAATCATTTAGAAGTATCTTTTATTTTACCCAGGCTTAATGTATAAGACTTGAGACTAATTGTTTTGGCAGAATAACTATTTATTGGTCTAAGACACTATGGATTGTTGCAACACCTTGTGATAACATAATTCTGAAATTACATGTGCAAGTATGAAGTTGAACTCACAACACTCCCTCTGAAAGTACATATGTTGATACTGATTTTGATGCTTAAATTTCTTTCTCCCTCTCTCTCTATATGTTATGGAGATGATAATTTATTTTGGTAAAATCTAGTTACTAACGTTTGTGTTTATTACAGTATGTGGAAGTAATTACCCCGCTGGAGAAACAACGACGACTAGAGCAGATATTACGGTCCCAAGATCCAGGTTCTAAGGTCATAATATTTTGTTCCACGAAGAGAATGTGCGACCAGCTGGCTCGGACCCTCACTCGTCAGTTTAGTGCTTCTGCTATTCATGGTGATAAGTCTCAGGCTGAGAGGGATAGGGTTTTAAGTCAATTTCGCACTGGAAGATCTCCCATTCTAGTGGCAACTGATGTTGCTGCTCGAGGTCTAGACATCAAGGATATCAGGTTATGGTTTTATGATATTTAGTTCAAAATAGGAACAGACAGTGATGTCTAATTTTGAAGGCTCATCTGCTTATAGCTATTATGCATGAATGATTGCTTATGCTGCTTAGATTTGAAGAATTGCCTTGCAAGGAAACCCATTGAATCTAGTTTTGCTGCAGGGTTGTGATCAACTATGACTTCCCCACGGGAGTTGAAGACTATGTTCACAGAATTGGTAGAACTGGTAGGGCAGGTGCCACTGGATTATCTTACACATTTTTCTGCGACCAGGATTCCAAGTATGCTGCAGATCTTGTTAAGGTTCTTGAAGGTGCCAACCAACGTGTTCCAAAGGAGTTAAGGGACATGGTGTCACGTGGTGGATTTGGCGGCAGGTCTCGTCGCTGGGGTTCTCGTTCTGATGCTCGTGATGGTGGTCGCACACAAAGTGGAAGAATCAACTCCAGTTACAATGGAAAAGGTGGACAGGGCCTGCTTCCTCTGCCTGTTAGATCAGACATTCAACATGGCAGTCGTGGAATCATTGACCATGAGCCTCATGACAGGTACTTATGATTCTTTTGTTATCCTAGTAATCATATATATGCTTTCACTGGATTTGCAAATTGTCATCGAACAATTCATCTTAAGTGCTTGCAAACCCAGTGTTCCATGATATGGCGTTATTCCACACTGCAGCATGGAAGCTAATACTGTGTTAGGTTTTTTACATGAATTACTCTTGCATAGAAGGAAGATCACAATGCCAAAGTACTTGGAAGACTCACATTTGTAAAATGAATGAAACTCAAACTTTAAAATGATGCATATTTATCTTCCGCCATGAAATTTACCATTAAATAATGTCTATCCTCTGGTGATATGGATTTAGCCTATAAAGTATGTAGGTAATAACATATGTGATGTCCATCCTTTTCATGTTTCATGTTGTGATATTGTACAATGGTTCTAAGAATCTGAACTGGGGACATTGTTTCAACTGTTAGTTGGACATAGTTGTAGTTTCTATTATGTGAGTTACAAAAGCACTTATGACATGCAGATCTAAAGGCCGAGGTCGAAGCCCCACCCGTAGCCGCAGCCGGAGCCGTAGCCGTAGCCATGGTCGGAGGTATAGCCCTATTTCGAAGAGGGTACCCGCTCGACATGCAAGTCCTCATAGCAGGAACCATGGTCGCAGTCGAAGTAGGAGCCACAGTCACAGTCCTAGCCGTGGTTTTGATCGTCATGGGGTGGGAACTGGGCAGGCGTCACGTGTGGGTTCATCACCGGCAAGGAGGGTGCAATCGCCGGTAGTTCATGGCTCAAATGATCCAGATCGTTCACCTATGCAGTATTATGAAGATCAGCAAAGACCGCAGTCGTATGATGGCGAACACGGGAGAAAGGCTGAACTCGATCACTCACCCAGCCCACATGATGAGATAAGCCGGTCCCCACACAGTATCATAGACAATGGAAGATCACAAGGATCACCCGGCCAAGGGCCATGGCCTGCAGGGTCGTCACCTAGAAATGGTGATACAGAGCAGCCGATCCCAAGGTCTCCGCCATTGCAGAATAATAAATGTGGTGGAGAGGAGGAAGAAGGCATGATTCCCGCAGACGAGGAGGATGGTGTAATCCCCCTCGAGGAAGATAGTAAGACATCGCCAAAGTCAAAGTCTCCTGCCCGGAGGCCAGGGCTGGATAATTGATTGTGCAGAGTAACCCATCATCTAGGATGGACGGACGGTGCAAGTTCCTCGTCCTGAGTTTGGCAGCATTCCATGTTTGTGTTGTAAAATGTCCACTGACATGATAATACTCGAACATTCATTTAGCTGTGGTAGTAGCTAGTTTGTTTGAACCCCCCTTGGCGATACAAGACTGGCACACTGTTTCTGTTGCAGTACTTGGAACTTTTGATCCGCTGTTTCTGTTGTGCCAACCTGATGAAACTGTTTGAATTGTTGAGATTGTTTGCATGCACGGGGAGCAAAGATCCGAGAACCAGTTCTAAGCCAGTGGGTAAAAAATATACCGTAATCAGGTGATAAAACTTGGATCAACCGTGTCACTTTTTATAATATCAGGTTTATTGTTATTATTATTGTCATTAGTTTTGGGACACCAAATCTGATTCAGTCGCATTGAGACTGATTTATTTTGATACAATTTCTACACTAACGTATATCAGATTGGTCTAAAGATAGCATAACTCGGGCCAAGGGGGTGCACAAAGTATTAGTACCCCGTCCTCAATCACAGGTACAGGTTTTGTTAACAATCGCAAGGCTTAATAGAAAGGGTAAACGGAGTTCCAATCCATGAAAAATATCGAAAAAGCCATAGTACTCCAAAGATACAAACCCTAGAAACAGAAGTTGGAAAAACAGCACCTACTTCATATTGCAGCAGAACATGTCACGATTTAGAACTTATAGAAAGAAAAACACCAGATATTTCGCAAGCAAACAAGAGTGTTCTCAAATTCCATACCCAGAAGAACGCCGTGGAGAACAAAGCAGGATAAACATAAATTGCCTAATCCCTAGTAACAGAGGGAATGAGAAAAGCAGCTAATCATGCAGTCTTGGGCTTGATTTTCTTTACCCTCGAGTAGAGAAAAACTCCAGCAAGTGCGATGCCGGTACCTGCAACAGAGAACTTTCTTGATGAAGGCACAGGAGAATGATGGTGAAAAAATACTGAAGACGTACTCAAATTTTATACAGAACCAGCATCGGTGGAAGGGCGCCATAAAAGTCTTACCGAGTGAATTGATGGGGGAAACTGGTGTCCTGAAAAAGAGGACTGAAGTCACAATGACCACGACCCGCTTCACACAGTTGCCGACGGAGTGGCTAACAGGTGATACCCTTGCCAGTATCATGTATGAAACCTAGCAGTCAAGTTCAAGTGATCAGCGAGCATTCATACGGGCAAAGCTTCCAGCAGACGAAAAGTGAAACAACATTTGCCATCCAGCAATAGAACGGAAAAATATCCTACGCTGATCACACCACTGGGAATAATAAGAAAGGAACAGCAAAGTGTTCTCTTTTGTTCAAAAAAGGAAAAAGGAGATTCTATGCAACAACACAAGGACACGGATCAAATATAATGACTCGTAAACCATTTGGAGAAAACTAAAACAGTGGTCCCTAAATTTGAAATTATGCTGGTCCCTGAATGAATGTGGTCAAACCTGAGTCTATATCTGATAACCGCTGCTGATGGTATGGTCAGTTTAGGATATGATGAAGGAAGATAAATTCAGCAGGTTCTAACATCCAAAAAGCAATTCACTATGATGAGGGTTGAGTAGATTCAGAAGTGTCACGAGGGAAAACAAGACCAAAAACTTGGTTAGAAATAAGAGGAAGGAGATGATGGCCCTAGAACTAAGGACACCAACCTTGTTAAACATATCACTTTCTTATCTCTGGTCTTATGTAGTTGTCAGGTAAAGTTCTTGACTTCCACTGTTTCTCCTTGGATTCAGTCTAATATAACTTCTAATCTTGATGACTTAGATTCATATCATATCCTCAGGGCCAAGATCGGTTGTAACATTTCACACATATATTTTGAACTTTCATGTTACCATTAGTCATCATAGCCCTCTCAATGCAATATTAAGTCCTTTTCATATTCTTGGAATTTATGTGCTTTCGATACATTATATGATCAAATCTGTAAGGCTTTTGTGAATTTAAATTGTAAAACACATTGATTGGTAGGTCAAAATTCATGTTCACTAAGGCAAATATTTTATATTTATAACCTTGTGATTAAGCAACATAAGATTATCGATTTTCCCCACAATTTTTTATCATTCTATTACATTTAAGATAATAACAACTCCACGGGTTAACCCAGTCTGACCCCGTATGCTACAACCAAATAAAAACTCAGACTGGATCTGATACCCATGGTTGGGAGAATGATCAATTTTTGGCAAAATGATGATAACTTCAAACTCTAAGATCCCAAAGAAACACATCGTAGATTGAAATATAAATATGTCACAAGGGTAAGAAGGTCAAAGGATCAGCTAGAATTAGCTAAAAACTATTTTGAAAGGAGTGGAGAAAGTTAACCTTTATAAGCATAAATGGAAGAAAATGATCTGTATAGAAGTAAGGTGACTATTGTTGTATGTGCCAGTTACTTTTGTGATCGCTTGCAGGCTACAAGAAACTCCAATAGTACCATATTAAGCATCAAACATCATAAGGTATGAAGCAATAGTGACTGGGGGGTACAATGGTATAAATCCACAAGGTCTTTCTTTCCCTTTTTTATTAGGAAGGGTAAGTAACGAAAGCAGGATTCAAGCCCAAGACTTTCCTATGAACTGTCAAAGTCTTTAACAAGTAAGCTAGCTAACACTTTCTAAATCTACAAGGTTATTTATGCACTTAAAAACTAATTTAAACACGAAATACTAAAATGGCAAATAGAAGGTGCTCCTAAAGAACCTCAACTTTTGGCAATTAAAACTCTTTTCAGGATATTGACAAAAAAAATAAATTCCAGTAAATTTCTAAAATAAAAGATTGACGAGCAAATATTAAGAAAGTATTCACAATAACAACAGCACAGTAAATAGACAATAACTCAAATCTATAGTATCACATTGAAAATGTTCTTTTATTTATGACTCAAAGATAAAAATCTTTTCAAAACATAAACATACAGGCACACTAGCTATATATAAGCTCACTGTCTATGCACGAAATATGCACAATAATTTAGAATATCAAACCTGCTGATAAGCGTGAAAGCACAGTGCTGCGAGACAACATCTCATGTATATCTCTTTAAGATTCAAACCCTAAAGCATTAAGCCAAACAAGAATAACAACAGAATTAGATGTTCCAGAATACTACATTTACATCAATTTGATTGTAAATACACATTTATTATGAATTTTAGATATATCTATATACAGAAACTATATGAGAATGCGCCTTCAAGACTTTACTTACAGTGGACTGCAGATATGAAGGGGTAAACTTGATGCCCTCCACAAACAATGTTGCAGGAGCTAGGAGGAAAAATGACATAATAGTTATCATGGAGAAGAGATTTATGTTGTCCAACGATTCCTGTAACATAAAAAAGCAAATTATGGCACAAAATTTGCCTCGGGAAGTGCTTTCGTGAAAATTAAATGAAATAGTTCCATATGTGAAAGATTATAATGATGTTTGTTAGCATAGCATACACATTCTGCTTCTAGAAAACTTGATCACCTCTTTCTTAACCATGACTTTCTTGCTAAGCACATTGCGGGATTGGAAGGTCACATTCGAAGCCATTGCACTCCAAAATCCAGCCCTGATTACAGAATAGGAACAATCCATTAAGATTATAAAAATACAAAAACAAAAAAGGTATATTTTCATTATACTGGAAAGAGTTGAGTTAAAGAGACCAGATGATTCATGCAAACAAACATCAATGTTTTGAAAAGCCTGATAATTTCCTAATTTGAAAAACAAACATTATTTACCAATTAAAAGAAGCTTCGGTGAGAGAGGCCAATGCCACACCACCAACAATTGGCACAAGGGATGCTAGAACCCATATAGTAGGCATCTGCATCCACATCAAGTTTCGATTATTTGCAGGGAAAAAAAAATCACAAAATGCTAAAGCTACCATCTCCAATTTAGAAGAGACCATTTATGGTGTTACAAGTTAATAATACGATAATCAAAGGACAAATATCTCCATTTCTACTAGTTAGAGGAACCTTTACAATCTTCAAACTGCAAAGATTTTAGATATACTAAAAGGCATCAAGTACATAATCTAAACATAATTACCCAATTTCAAAATAGATTATCCTAATATATACATCAGAAATATTGCAAGGCAGGAGATGCTGATCAATTGTACAAAACATAGTATCCTGTTAAAAGGAAAAGAAAAGTTTAAAAGAATCACCTCCCCTAAAAATAAGGCAGAAAGAAGGACAGAGAAAAAGGGCTCCATAGCTTTGATTGTGTGCGTGAATGAAACAGCAACCTTTCCCAGACTCATATTTGTAAAGAGGTTACCCATTGTATGGACTGCAGCCAACGGTAAGATGGCAGCAAGCTGAAAAGAAGTGAAGATAAAATATCATGAATTGATCTACTGTGCATCTTCTAATGCTCAATTGAGTACCGCTATCACAAAACATCACCTGTGAAGCAGAAATCTTAGGTCGCTTGTATAGATTAGTGGTCCACATGAATAGGACAAGACACGTTCCAACGGCAAATTGAACTGTTGTGATGGTAAGTGGAAATTGGAAAACCTTCAGAACCTGTGACATATAGCAGCCCAAATCAGATGGCAACAAAGACAGGACAACTAATGGTCATGGATAAGCAGAAAATTTCTTTAAGAAACAAAAATGCTGGAGGAAAGAGCATTTATTGAAAACAAGAATGGTGTTTCAACCAAGTCCGCTGACAAAAGTACGAAACAGAACAATTTAGTTTCTGGAAATTAAAAAAATTTGATGTAATGCGATCAACAATCATGAAATTGCAATTGTTTTTCAACGTAAAAAGGCATTCATCAACAATTTCATCCACAAGAATATTGTCTTCTTTAGCACTATGATATCAAAACAAAAGAATCTGTTATATATTCTTTGTAATTTCAGAGAAACCTATGTGATCACTTTGACAAAATTTAGCAATAACACGGGAATATAATTTTATCGTAAAATAAGGTTTGCCACATCCAACAACATATCCAGTCTGCCAACCTGTTAATTACAAAGACACACTACAGGATTTAAGGAAATCAAAGGCAAACCTAAAAAACATAAAACCAATTTAATTAAAAACCTTTAGTTTAAGGTTTATATCCACAACTCAAGCTTAGAATTAATTCCATTTAAACTCTCATTAACTAAAACAATGCCATCAACAAATAAAATACACCTGAAATCTATCATGTGTTTCACTAGCACATTCATCCATTGCCAACGTAAAATTTCCGATGTGCCTTATATTGATGGGAAATTCATTAGACACACTCCATAGTTTACACACTAATGACAACACTTCCATACATACCTTCTATAGCATCAAAATAATTAATGGATACACATTTATTTTTGAAAACATTTCATGATAGATCTCTAAAAATCTTTATCATAGGCTTTTCAAAATCAATAAAAGATGCATGCAAAACCTTCTTCACTCTATATGTTTTTCATTAATTGTCTTAGGACAACTCTATCATAGGCCACATCATTTCATTTGGAACCATAATCTACCGAAGAAATTGACATTTGGAAACTAGGAACATCGTGGGCCAGCTAGGGCTTTCAGACTCGGAGCAAAAAATAATAATAATAATAAAGAGGATATAGCTGATGTCATGCCATGCCACCGATGGGGTATAGGCAAGGCCGCTCTTATTATCCGACGTTCAAGGTTGAAAGTGCAACGACGCTAATGTAAATAAGCCAAAAAATCAGAAGAAGAAGATGAACATATTGCTTGGAATCTACCCTAAAAAAAAGAAAGAACGAATGAGGTGGAATCTTCTGCTTGCGGTTGTCACAGCCAGCTGAGTACCTCTTTCACATGCACTCAAAGCTAATAAAGATAGACATGACAATTCTAGAAGCTCAACTTCCAATTAAAGAAAAAAGAAATAAAGGAAGAAAAGGTTGCAAGAAAGGAATGTATCAGCCAAAGATCCAAAAAAGCGCACATAGTTCAAAATACACCGGCAAACATCCCGGATCATTTAGATAGTGGACCAGAACATGCAGATCTGCAGATTCAAAGCAAAGGGCACAGATCCAAGTGACACGGCCACCAGCTCCCCCAGTATCAAATATTTCCATCAAAGAAGAAAGAAAGAAAGAAAGAAAGCAAGAAAGAAAAGAAGAGAGCAGAGGAAAGCGGAGAAGACGTGCCTGCTTATTGTATATGTTGAAGTAGATGTTGAAGAGATACCAGAGGCCGAAGAGCGACCCTAGCTGCACCGTCTGCAGGATCCCGCCGCTAGCAGTGGCGCCATCGCCGGCGGAGGCGCTATCAGGGACGGAGGCCGCGCGGGCCGCAAACCGATCATCGGGCCTTCGATCCGAGAGGGATGGGAGGGATACCAAGGGGCGGAGTGCGCCGGGGAGGCCTTGGGGTGAGGAGGCGGCGGCAGCGAGTGGTTGAAGGCGGGATCTGCAGGTGATGCGGGGAAGGAGTAGGAGGTTTCGCCTCGGGGTGGGGGGATTCTTGGAGTTTCGGAGGAGTGGCGTGTAGGAGGGAGAGAGTGCGGCGCTCTGCATCCCTTCTTCTTCTTCTTCTTCTTGTCCAGTTGACCGCTTGCGAAATGCGGAGGGCCGCGGGATGAGGTGGCGGCGGAGAGGTCGAGGAGCAGAGTGCGTGGTGGGTGGCGATGTGCAATGAAGAGGCCGGAAACACAAAATTATATATTTCTTCGTATTAAGTGATTTTTCGTTTCTATTCCTCAAATTTTGAGTATATATATATATATATATATATATATATATATATATATATATATATATAACCGAAAAAAATTCTCATGGGTTTTATTTTGAGCGTCTCATATTTGATGAAGTGGAACATCCTAAATATGATAAATTTCCCCCCCAAAAAAAAAGTTTGAATGAGTACATTGAACTTGAACTAATCTACCACCGTTGTCTTACCTATAACCTCCCCCATTATAGTCCTTGTTATTTTTTTTCCTTCAATATTTTTTTTTCTCTCTCTCCTTTATCGTCACAATCGGCCTCACTTATATTCCATCGTCCTATATATGTCTTATTTAGGGTTTCATCCTCTCGTATTTTTCATTTTATCTCTCAATTGACCTTCTCCATCTTCGATCAGGTGCTATTAATTTTTGACTCTTAGGTAACGCACTGATCCTCAGTTATGTTATTGTTAAAAGGACAAAGTTTAGATAGATTCCATAAACAACCAATGAACTCTTGATTTGAATTAAAAGTCATCCCTTGTAGTTATAAATTTACTTTTTTCTCACTAACTCAAACTTACTTCAAATTTCATCATTTTTACTTAATTGATTTTCATTTCGATAAATAAATAATTATATTTTAAAAAAAAATTAAAAAAAATTATTTTTATTATATTACATAATACTCATATGTGAAGTTGACCTATCATTTATACAACAATACACTAATTAATTAATTCAGATATCTCAATAGAGATAAATAATTATTTAAAAAAAAATTTATAAGGACATGCTAACACAGACATGTAAAAAAGCCTTCTACACAGTCAAATACATATTAGCATATTTCCATTGCCAAGCACGATACTCAACGACCGACCTAAATACATAATTCTCTTGGGAATAGCATTTCATGCTCGCAAACAATTTCATATAAGATAGTAAAGGCAAGATGACCTTTCTACTGCACATACCAACGCCAAACTTGGAAATTATCCAGTAACTACAGTACAAGCTTCTATAGTCTTGCATATTGGTTTTCCAATGCCAGACGGCAGGAATGTAGTGAGCTAGATGAGTCTTCGCTCATAGTCACCAGCCACTGTGATGTGTCTCACCCATGGAAAAGCTTGGTATCCACTCTTTATGATACTTATGAGATACCGGACCAGGGTAACCAATATAATAGATGCATCAACGACTGGTTCATATGGTAGTTTGATATAGAGACTCCGAAAGACCAAAACACCAGCATCTCAGAGGTAGTGAAATATAGGATCTCAAACTTCACACGTATAGGAGAAGCCTTCTTCTCGGGAGCTGCTGCTTCAGCTGTCATTTCTACATTCTGCCCGACACATGTACTCCCACGTGTAGCAAAGAATCACACAAGAATCATGAAGAAAAAAAAGTTTAAATGTAAACTTGACTTGATGGTACCTCCTATTAATCCGGAAAGAGAAGTTACATCCCGTACCTTTCCACCAGGAAAAGATTTTATTTTCCAGACTAATGCATCATTCTCAGGTGCATATGCAGCAGAACCTATGATAGGATTGGTGGCTTCTGAAGTGACGGGCAGCTCAGCTCACTTACCACGTTTGTCGCAGTGCTGTTTGGTAATGAAATGATAACATAAGTTTATAGGACAGCACGAGTTAATGGAATGTGCAATCATCTATGGCAAAATGAAAGTCAGCTAGCACCTCCTTTCCTAAAACTTAAAACTGACTTTTCGCTTTTTCCATGATCTGTAGGTGACTTCTTGAGTGCCTCTTGACTTGAGCATCCCAGATCGGAGGCTTTACCTGAGTGACCAGAGTCAACAAGAGGTGCAGGTTAAATAAATGCTCACAAAACTTTAATTTTATAGTGGAGTATTAAATTATAGAATCCTTCTTCATGAAAAGTGAAATTTCCAAGTTAACAAGAGTGCAGGGGGTAAGGCAAGGATGGGAGGATGGGGGAGGGGAGGAGGGGAAGAATATGAGGAGAGGAGGGTATGGTATTCCAATCCAAAAATGAGACCCAGTACATCTGTCATCAATTAGGACTGTATCGTACATATCTTACCCAAAATATAAATCTCAATCAGCTCAAAACTCCGATAGACAGGAGTTAGGACGTATTTTTAACTGGAACAAGTAACATGTAGATGGAAATGAATTATCTCTAAAAGATGTCCAGAATTGCAAAAAGAAGTCTCAAAACTCAATCTAATTGCAAAGCAGAGAGCATCCTTAGATCCTCTTGCTGCATTTACACCAAACAGAAAGTATTTTTTTACTTTTTCATTTCTTTTGTTGCATTTGCAACATATCTACTTTGGGTTGTCAATGAAAAAAGATGCTCACTCAATTCTTTTTTCCCTTGTTTACAAACATTGCTAAAAGTAGGTCACTTCTAGATATTGGTCCAAGGATATTATAAAGAAGCGTTCTTAACCTTTGCCAAGGGCACTCACACTGGCATCCCCAAATTGAACATGATAAACTAAAATGTTTATCCTATCCTCTTCTAAATATTGTTTATGCACCTAAACTGCTTCGCATGTAAGACAATGATAAACTAAAGATAAAAGAGTTTTTCATAGACTGTTATATACATAAATTTGCAGATAATTCAAGGACTTTGCAGCAAAATAATTGATCTTATTAATAGATGCAAGAGAACAACATTTCCTCGTTAAAGTTTCCCTTTCCATCAATATAACCAAGGAAACTATGCTTGGGGGTGTTTAGCCCAGCATTCCAATAACGAGGTGGTTCAAATTTTTTTCTTTATACTGGAAAAAGAATATTTCCCTTGGTTTCCCATATATCAATTCATGCCATGTGTGTTAAATGGAAGTTATTAATGGATTATCTTAGTTATTAATGGATGAATCTGCACCCTCGTACATATCATTACAATGGAAGTTTACTCTTCATGGCCGAAATGCGGTTTAACATTAAATTGCAGATAAACTATGGCATCAACCAATTGTTAAAAAATGATTAATTAAGTGGTAAAGAGCTTAAAAATGGCACAGACAAACAAAGAGGTTCATATTCTCATCAAATCTATGCCACAATACTCCAAATGACATAAGAATAGAAATATAGGAAAGAAAATGCACCTCAAATATGTTCTCATTTCCGATGCCCCAACAACATCAGAATGGATAATCTGTCAATTGCTGTTGACAAGTATATTGACACTTTCAACCATGGCCAAAAGCACCTTGCAAAAGAAGGAAAGAGAATCTAGAGATTATTTAGTGAACAGTAATTAACAGGTATCCCCACAACAGGGACAAATGACTTACTTCATTATTGTTGTATCACAACCCTTCACTGCGCTAAGACACTGCATTTGTGACAGCCATCAGAGACCTTTGTGTAACTTCTGTCTTGTATGCATCTGTCTTAATAAACTCACCGAGAATCTTAGCTTCAGTGTATTGCAGGTAACCAAAGTCCATCATTTCGTTGAGTAACTCATACTGTCCACAATATACAGAGGATTCTATTTCATGACTGCAGAAAATGAACAATAAGAACAAGAAAAGGAGTTCCAAGATTTGGTGTTCACCGTACAATGTAATGTCTATAATGCACCAGTGAAAGGATAGCTTCTCCACTTACATCTCTTAAAAATTCCTCCTCCAGTTCTTCAAAAAATGTTTAAATATCTGAAATTCATGTAATTAAGGATAAGAGATGAATTAGTTACTTGAAAGAAAAAGAAAAAACATATATCCCTCATCTTGATGATTATTCACATCAAGGACAATACGATAATGCTGGCAGAATTGCAGTTCTGCCTCACCGCTGTCATCAGGAAGACGTCACGATGACATCAAACACAACAGGCGAGTGGGGCTCGAATCTCCTGTCTGTCACAATCAAACCAGACACAAGGTTCCATCTTTTCTAATAAAAATGAGGGGAACCAATCCAAATTCATCAAATTTCACACTGAGATGCATCAAATTTTAACCAAGCTGAACTGTTCATGTTAGTAGCCATCTAAAATGTAAGTTTGATGACCCAAGCCAAACAGACCGAATACATGTGTAACATTTGTTAACTAAAATTTTAAATCAGACATGGATTTCTTGAATTTTTTGGAGAAACAATAGAATCGATTCGATTCAAGATCTTCGGCAGACCAAGCCGAAGAGAATCAAGTCTGTTTGGGCACAATGTTTACTGCTAGCTAAAATATTAATGCATATCATCCAAGGATTGATCAGGCAGAATGTTTACTGTACAGTGTTGAGTGGAAAGTTATCAAAAGAACTAGGATCACAATTAAGAAATGAGCATGTAGAACATAAGCTTAGAGAATTTGTAAGAGAATAAGACTAATCTGGATCTCTTGATGGCTAGCAAATTGTTTGGAGGTCGGGAGCCAAACAGCAGTATGCACATAAAGATAATGAACATCTGCATACCAAAGAACAAACAAAACAGTGTATTTTGGGAGAACGACATTGGCCAGGTCTAATACTACAGAATTTACAAAGTACTGTTAAACATCAGAAAAACTCCTTCCCTGAAGACGAAATAATACAGGTTCAACCACTTCACTCCAAGTCAGTAATGATTAAAGACAATTATGTACTGGCCAAATTGCCCCTATCACGGTATTTCTGAATGATATGAGAATCATGAAAAGAAAAAGTTATAGTGCCGCAAATATGTTGATCTGCAAGATATAGTTCGAGAAATTTCAACTATTGGACAGAAAAACAGTCTGTCAAGGATATACATTTGTCCAAAAGTATTCCTCTTTAACCAATAATGAGTTTGATATAACCTACTATATTGAACAACAGCAAGCTTGTTGATCTTCCCGGTTTTCCATTGCAGCATTTTATTCTGGCTTTAATGATGATGAAGAGTATTAATGACAAAAAAAAACCCACCGAGACAACATATCTGAACAGAAATATATTGACATGGACCATTAACATCAGCTAGTTGATCTACTTAACTGCTGTAGTTTTGGATATATCCTGCATCAAAAACATGGTATTACAATAACGTAACTGAAAGAAGAGAATTATATCTTCAGATAGAAATGTATAGATATCAGGCCATAAAGTCATTGCAGGATGTTATATAGTTGAAGGCTAAGAAGTATCGCCAAATATCAAACAACACTGTTGAGAAACCAAGTTCTAAAAGGATACAACTTATTCTACGATCAGAAAGTAACAATTTGCATCTCATTGAACCAATGTTGCTAAAGCAACCACCAACATCTGCCTAGGCTTTTTTCCAAGAAGATAAGTCTAATTTGAGTATTTGAATTTAAGTGGAGCCATTTAGTACAAAGACTTTATGATCGTGAATTAAGTCATCACATCATATTCATCTTCAATTTAACCTTGCATGTTTGTGAAGACAATTTTGTAATCGATGCATGTTTATTGTGATGCAGTATAACGTTTATTTAACATAAAATATGAATGATTATGTTTTTAATTGGTGGTTTGGAATGTTTAAGAGTGCAAGTTTACTCAGCAATTTTAGTTAAATACAAGCAAGATAAAAGAGATTTAAAGAAGGCAGTGATCAATATGCAGAGCCTTACCTGGTGCATCACAGCTCTACCATGCACTAACTATTGCTCCCTGTACTCTCTCTCTGTCTCTCTCTCTCTCTTATATATATATATATATATATATATATATATATA